TTTGCAAGGCATCCTCCATCGTTGCCACTACGTCCTCCGTGATTATAGAAGGAGGAGGCATAATAGGCCTGTCCTCATCAGCTTGAGATTGCCAAATATCCCGCTATTTCAACTATCCCCATCGTAAATTATCCGATTAATTTGCGGCTTCTTCAGCCTGAAGTTGCAATTAGCGGGATTTTGGTCGAGATAATCATCCCAAGATATCTTGGGCTAGTTTGCAAAATATCCTGCTGTTTGTTCGGTGCATCCTCACCAGCCCGAAGACTCGCACTATGCACGAACGCTGAGCAAAATATCTCGAGCTTGAGTTTGGAGGTCAAGTCTCGAGCTGATGAGGACGCGATTTGTAACTTCGGGATTATTTCCCAAATCAGAAATAGCGGGCTATTTGGGAATCTCAAGCTGATGAAGACGGGCCTAATGTGTCTCCCTCTCCTCCTTGTACCGTGTTGCTCGACAACCGTCCCCTAACGGGACACCGGGGATGATGATCTGTGCCATCGTCTTAGCCCCCGTGCCATTCTATAGTGCCATTCTAGTATTACGGGAGCAATTTCACTCGTACATTTGTCTGAGTATGAAGCTTCGTTCCCATTGTCAAAGCTCCTAACCAAGTGGGATGTTAAAGATAAAGTTGAGTTCTGGTCTTGAAAGAAACTCTTCTAAAGCAATTAAGAAAGGTTTATTATTTACCACATATGAATTGGTGTTAATTCAGTTTGAGGTTTTAGAATCATCAAAATAGAAAATTGATTCAATCATGCTGAAAGTCACAATTAAGTACTGCATAGAGAAATTTCTTAAAATGCTACTACACATTGTATGCAGTTTGAAAGTTTGGTCCAAACATTACTATTTCTATTCATGTGAAAAAATACGAGGGTATTATTAGCAGAGCAATCATTTTCAGGGAATATGTCTTCTTTGATATTCTACAAAACAACCCGACATGAAGGAGAATGAGAAAGCTGACAACTTATATTTTCTCCTTTACCAGAACTCTCAAAGTTCACTTCAAGAGTATTCATGTAGCTCCTATTCTGAAATATATTGAGGGATATGGTTTCCCGCTGACATTAATGTTTGAGTTGGATACGTTTCAACTAATTCATGTATAAAGTCCACAATTCTTCAATTCATGTTCCTTTGTAAAAGTATTAATGCAGCTTCAGTACACAAATTCAAAAGCCCTGGAAAAAATTGTATTCAACTATAAACCTTCACAAAAGAATGATACGTCTTTTGAAAAATGCAGTAGGTGAAAAGGAGTAAGAAGAACCAATGATAATTTCGGGGAGTTTAAAATATACAATGAATAGAATCTATATGCTATATATTTGGAAATGAGAGAGGTCAGAATGAAACATTAACAGTATGAATATTACTTTATTATATTATGAAAGGTACACACAGGGATCGAGTATCAGGTCATTACAAGTGACGGATAATTATAGTAGGACTGCGAGTGTGACCTAGGTAAAGAATATTTGTTTAAAGAAGTCAAAGCAGAAATGGAAGAATATATTGGAAAAGAAAGAAGGAGAATTAAATGAAAGAGAGAAGGGAAGGGTGACAGAAAAGAGGTGGAAGGAACCGGCTTGGCTGTGGGAAAGAGCCTCTCGTAAAGTATTCCATGGCTTAATGACATTTGAAAGATAGTGTGTATGCACGCTTATTGTGGAGCCATCACTGGTAATGGCCTCTTGTAATGCAATCGTGATATGAAATGGGGCAGGACCGTAGGAGAATACCAAACAGGAAAAATATTCCAGAATTCAAATGATAGATGTAGATACACTTCTTTTTACTACCACTCATCAAAGTGGAAAAATTGAATTTGGATTAAGTTTAGGTCTACTCTGTAATTATGTATGTTGCAAAATTGAATTTTACTTCTCTCTGTCATAAAACAAAAGGACAAATTAAGCATATGAAAGATTATAATTTTCTGCAAAACTCTTCCTCGATTTTGTAGTACAGGTATTGTTCATATATCTAGTTATCTTACTCTTGTTTGCGAAACATGCTAAAAAGATGGTAAAATGGCTCTGAATACAATGTTACTCGCCTTACTCGGTAGCAATGAATATTGTAGCTCAAAGGCTTATCTGCTTGACTTACGTTACATGAGCTTATCTGATTGTGGATAGCAAAGAGAATCACAGCCTCTTTGTATTTAGCAATTTGATGCTTGTTGGTGCATATGATACTACGAGGACATTATCTGAGGTAAAAGCATTTTTTGAGCAAAAGAGAATCGATCAGACTCTTATTTTGCACTAAGGAAAAAGTCTATCATGCCTTTTAATTAGCTCAGTGAGTTTTGTTATCTGTTTTACTATGTCAACTTGTAAAAGACATCTAACTTATAATGACATTATAGTCAAAGATAATATCAGTTTACTTTCTGAAGCAAAACTCATTTGATATCTTTTGATGCCGACTGTAAGCAGACTGATGTTATCAAACATTGCTTGATTGTACGTGATCCCGTTAATTGATACATGAATTGAGCTTATATCCCCAATGAACATGATTGCAGGATTGAAAATTCACCCTAGGTTCTGTATTTTCATCATCGTGGTGCAAGAAAGATATAATTTAGAAGTAATGTTGAAGTATTGGAATTCATAAAGCACTACAGATCACTTGAGAATACCAAACCTTCTTTATGTAGCAAATTGTCCCATGTATGAACGGAATACATATACCTCTGCCCAAAGTCAAACTCACCTGATATATAATAGGAAATGATGAATTACATTATTAATTACTTTATCTTGAATAGCAAGAAAAATAAAGCCTGTTCTTCCTGTAGTTTTAATAACATTTCATGATGCAGTATCAACATTGTATTGATGAGGCAGTTTTTCTCCCTGCATGTGTTTCTCCTTTGATGTCTCTTTGGATTTTACTCTCTCCATCCCTGTCTCTTTTTTTTCTCACTCTGTCTCTCTTTATGTTGTCACTCCATTTCTCTTTGAGTTCTCCGTTTCTCTTTTATCTCTATGATATTCTTTTGATATTTGTCCCCTTTTCTTTGTCTTTGTTTTGATCTCTCTACTCCCCCCCCCCCCTTATATATTTTCCTCTCTCTCTCTCTCTCCCTCTAGATATATATCCCCTATTCTCCTCTCTCTCTCTCTCTCTCTCTCTCTCTCTATATATATATATATATATCTATTATAACCCTATGTCCCCTCTCTTTCAGTCTTGCATATTTCCCTGCATTTGCTTTTATTTTCTCTCCTTTTCTCTTTCTCCCCTTACCCCTTTCTCCCTCCTTGGTCTCCCTCCCTTTCTCTTTCCTCCCTTTTTTGTATCTATTCTTCTCTCCCTTTCCCTTCCCCTTCTTCTTCGTCTACCTTTCCATTCTCTCTCTCTCTCTCTCTCTCTCTCTCTCTCTCTCTCTCTCTCTCTCTCTCCCCTCCCCCTTTCTTCCTCTCCACCTCTCTGAGATGAACTTCAAAAGTATTTGAGGACACATGAGCACCAAGTGATTAATCATGTTAAATTGCGCATTGACAGATTTACAGATCGGCTTTCTTCTAGGAATCTTACTATTTCCCCCTCTCTCTCGCCTTGTCTAGGGCCAGGGTGCAGTTTGGTGTACGCCTTGTCTAGGGCCAGGGTGCAGTTTGGTGTACGTCACGATTGCTCTATCCCTTCCCTTCATACATCCCCTTCCCCTCATATGATCAACAATGTTGTTTTGGATGCCGCAATGACGACAAATATCCATATCTCCAGCGACCAATAATAGTTTTAGCTCTGGGGCGTGCTTGTCATGCAACATCAGGCCTTGTTTCCAAGCTGATAAAAGATATTTTTTTCCCTCTCATGTCAGAGACTCTAGTCTACATTTTGATTAGAAGCTTGCGTTTTTAATTCTTTATCTTACAAAAAGAAATTAAAAAATATGTACCAACAATTTGTTGTACTCATGGAACTCATGAAAATGATAGAATTGGTGATTATGATTCAGAAACTAATAATAGCTGTAGAAAGTATATGTTTTTATTAATAGTAGTAGTGATATTTTTAAAAAAAGAACATAGTAATAGATTGATTTGTAGAACTCATCTTGAAGTCATTATAGATTTGAGCAGTGTTGATGAGTATGTTCTCATTAAGATCTCTGTCTTTAAACAAAAACAATCTTTGGGCCATTCCATGAGAAGAAGGACATGACATCAAAAAAAGAAATGTACCTCTTATGTTAATTCTTTGATTTATCACTAACCTTATGCCATGGATGTTCATAAAACATTAGGGCCTTTCAAATTCAATACAATTTTTTTTTCATTTTTGTTGATTCCCTAAGATCTCAAACTATCATCAAAAACGTACATGTGGGACTGTAGCTGAAAAAAACCCAATTTATTGCAGATTACACAGGATTCTTGTAATATTTTTTCCTGAAAATTTCGCTAAATGGAAAAAGATGAATATATTTCCATATTCTAAGGGGTCCTGTGATATTTAATCTATTACATAGGGGTGACAATGGCCTCCGGACAAAATGTAACGCGAGTTACCGTAACGTGAGTTACCGACATATTTGCTTCCTGCATTTTACTAGTCCATTGTTTCTTATCTTTAATATTGTGATCTTATACTAGTAAGTCACAACCTACTATCAAATTAAAATAGGAAAGATTTTGTCAAGATTGTCTAGTATGAGGAGAAAAGAGGGTCTCGTAGAATTGACCATGTCCTTTTTTTGTAACGCGAGTTACCGAAATTCAATAATCCAAGAATCTAAAAATGTTTGTTCTTCAATTTTCTTTTTTGTTTCATTCAGTTGTTCTATATCTACCCTGTCCATGTTTGAAAAAAGTATCTTGTAGATCCTAGCAGTTCTAAAGATATAGGCACATTATCGTGTCAATGTACCCATTAAGTGTAACGCGAGTTACCATGGAATGGCCCCTTTACTATTTGTTCCTAACATACTGCTTTTTTCTCTCTTCCCCCTCCCTATCTTTAATCTTCAGTTGCCCCAACAATTACTAGCCCGTTGGAGAGGATAATCCAGGAGGCTGCAGGCAGCTCCATCACTCTCCCTTGCATGGCCACAGGAGTACCCGCCCCTCAGATCAAGTGGTATCGTAACGCTGCTGACATCACAACCATGGGTAACAGCCGCTTCAGAGTAAGTCTGTTTATGCAAATCATTTATATTATGATTTCGTTTAATCGAACAAGACATATGGAAACATTGTAGATAGTATATTGGTTCCTTGGACACTCAACTGTCAATTGAAAAGTTGACAGCTTGAATTCTTTGATAGTGCAATTGTCCCTAAGACAAGGTATGTTTTACAGTTGTCTCTCTCAGCCCAAATATGGGAAATTGATGCTTGATAGGATCCCTGCTTTGAAATATGACACACAAATAAAGGTTTTACCAGACAAAAAAGATTGAATGGAACATGATATGTTTACTTCTATATGTGTGTTTAGCAAGACATAATTTTTGGCCAGTATAAAGATAGAACATAAGCTTAAAACCATGAGAGTGGTATTTTTTCTTTGTGATGTATGCTTTAAATATCACATTTTCTGTTCGAATTTATATTTTTGTTAAAATAGACTTAGATTTTCTTTCATTAGACTTCAATCGGGTATGTCAACTTGTCCACATTTAATGATTTCATGTTTTAGCATCAGGTTCATGAGGCATTAATTGGCACGTTTCCCTTATTTTGTGATGAAAACTAGTCTTCTGTTTGTGTCTGGCCCTGAATCATGTGTCATGCAAAATTTAATGTTGTTTTCAGATGGAGGATGACGGTAGCTTGAAACTGAGCAACATTGAGAAGGCCGACAGCGGTATGTTCCAGTGCCAGGCCATCAATGATGTGGGAGAACAGATAGTGGACACTTGGCTACAAGTGCAAGGTAAGAACTTTGATTTTCCATCCTTGCACGGGAGAGTGCTGACATGTGTCAAATATGGCTTATTAATTTTCCATAGTAGAGATAGTAATGATGATGGTGATAATGATGATAGAAAAATGTGGAGGAAGAGCAGGAAGTGGGGATCATTATGATGATGGTCAGGCACCCGTTTCACAAAGCCTTTTTTCGCTGACAAATGACAAAAATCAGTGACAAATCTTTTGATAACCGATCAGAAGCAAGGATTTCAGTAACTTATACCAAAAACTGTCATTTGTCACTGATGACAAGTTTTGTGAAACACCACCCCCCCCCCCCCCCCCCCCCCCCCCGAGAAGAAGGAGGATGATGGTGAGAAAAGAAGGAGGAACAGAAGGGGAGGAGTGAGAGGGAAGGAAGGAGGAGTATGGTTTTGGTGATGAAAATGATGATGATATTGTTAAGCATAGTGACAATGGTTGAAATGTGGTTTATATTATGATATCATCTCTAATTTTTGCCTTTTTAGAAATTGCTCCTGAGATCACCCTGTCTCCCAATGACACCACCATCTTGGAAGGAGAGACGACCTACCTAGAGTGTGCAGCAGAGGGCGCTCCACATCCCACAATACATTGGGAGAAAGGTATGCATGTAGATACGAGAAGATCACAACACGCGTGCAGTCGTAGGGCTACTGTATTAAGGGGGGATCATATTAGATATAAGAGATATTACAATTAGTTATTGGTCATTTCTAGAAATTCTAATATAAGAGAAAATAATGTCAAATGGGGCATACCATATGGGGACACATTGTCATATGTACCAGAGAAAAAGAACTTTACAGAAACCATCATACAAAAAGTATACATTTGTACACAGTTCAATGCACGTGTATTGATGGAAGGGATGTTTATGGAGACGTTTTGCTCCCAATTGTGACAGATCTTGATAAAAGGGAAGCGATGGATAGTAACTGTGCTATAAAAACCAATTGAATAACTTTCAGATAAAATATCTGGTTCTTTCCATTCCAAATAGTTGTCTGTGTTGAGTTGAGGAGTGATTGCTACTCTGTCCTGAGTTTTGTCTTACTTTTTCTCATTCCTACTAATATAAACTATTATAAATCCAATGTCATACCTTCGATTTAAATATTATTACATACACGTATATAAATTGTTCTGCAGTTCACCCATGCAGTATAGTATTCTTTGTCGACCAAAGCTTCCCAGTACTTTGATCATAGTATGGTACCTGCACTGAGAGATAGTATTACATGTGTGAGTACTTTTATAGACAACGAGTTCTTTTTTAGATAACGGTTGACAAGTATGCCCAACATGATAGCTTAAAGGGTAAATATTGTCCAGAACAGGATATATTTTGATGCTATATTCTATACTTTAGATTGATAGTCAGTGAATGATGGGATTTTAAATGGATTTTATTCTTCCCGAAAAATATTGCAAAAGAATGGCTACGATTACAGTACTACTATATCAAGTATCATGTAGGTGAAATATGTGCAAAATATGGTAGAAAATATTAAAGAGGGCTTTGTTTTTAGAAACTTTAACACAAATGAAAACAAGAGCATAAACAGAAGCAAAACAAAAAACAAAACAATGATGTGTATGTTCATGTACATGTTCTAGAAATTCAATGTGAGGAAATCTCTCTCTCTTTTTTTTGTACATGAGCAAATCCAAACAGATATTCAATGAACCAAAACGTATTTCTTTACTATGAGCTATCATGAATGATTTGCATCTTAAACTTTTACAACAATGCCAACACTTCATGACCAACATTGTACATCATATAGTATAGTCTGCATATCCCATCTAACGGACTATCTTGAGTGTGTAACGAATGTACCTTCAAAGCAGCACAGTTATGTATCACCATGTCACGTGTTGTGATGCATGGTTCGGACGAAAGATGATACGCTCTTTGCCTATAAACATTGACCTTATTAGCACTTTAACTACTCTTGTTACTAAAAAAAGGTAATGAGGCTGAATCAGCTGACAGCTACATGTTTGTCATTGAAAGTGGGAAAAATATAGATATTTTTTTCATGGATTTATTCTTAATCAGCAATCAACATTTATCCAATCATATGTACGTGTACAATGAGGAATTTTGTGTTTAAATGGTCGCTGCAAGAAAAAAATGCTTGATGCCCTACTTTTACACACAAACAAGACGTACGATTTTATGGAAATTTAGGAAATTTGTATTACTTTTCACAACAATTCCTAATAAAGCACCAAGGTACATTTATATGTATCTTCAATTATTTGAGGATAGTACAGCCATTATACTATATTTATTCATGAAGGAGTTGATCTTCAAAATAATGTAACTTTTAAGATGTAAATCAGTAATAATCAGTCAAATATAATAGGAACAAAGGATGTAGAAAACCACAAATATTGTAATGTCCTTGATTCTGCGTTACTTTTTTTTGGTTTTTTTTTTGAAGAAACAAAAACCTTCATGTACATTGACATGTACAATGCACAATAACAAACAAACATGTAGTGGTTTTATATAGGTATATTTAGGAGTTGCATGTGCATAGAATTTTACAATGCTTTTTAGAAGATTTACATGTACCAGCATGAAGAAGGAAAACAAATTGTTCAGTGACTCCAGTTCCCTCTGACCATATATTCTCCTTCCTTCCTGCTTCAGATGTTCATGTAGAGAGATTGATTCAAATTATTATTTAGAAAAAAAAGTTCAGTCAATACCAAAAGGGAGATGTGGCATATGGAATTCATTTACAATTGCTGTTCCTATATCTGTAACACAACTTTTATAAAGGGGCAAATCCTACACAATGTCACATTCAAACAATTATAAATCATACCAAAGATTGAAGTTTACTTGCTAGTCATTTTTAGTTGATAGGACAAATGAAGGAAATACACACGTCTGATCTGCCACAAGGCTCTGTTCAGTTAAAATTACATTCAAAAGAAAATGCAGAAAGATTTATTTGAAAGCTTAGATGATGCACTCATTATTATATGACTAGCCCTCAAAATGTTATTTTGTTTGTTCTTGTTTGAATTCTGTAGATGGCCAACTGGTCCTGAGCGCAAGCTTCCGTCTCAACGATCGCTATGTCCTCCAGACCTTTGGAAACCTCCTCCTGCAGCAGGCGGTCAAGGAGGATTCCGGCGAGTACACCTGCATCGCCACCAACACCTTGAATACAGCCAACTCTTCCGCCTCCCTCATTGTTTACCGTAAGTGCCCCTCCCCCCTTGTTTATTTAGCATTGAAACATTTCAGAATTCTGCAAACAATTTATACAAGTTACATGTATCACTACCCTCCGCAAATGATAATAATAATAATAGTAGGTTCTTGTATAGCGCTCATGTCTGTCAGACTTGACACTCCTAGCGCTCTTGATTATTACCCTAGCTTTAGCGCGGCTGCCATTACGGCGCTTGAGCATTTCAAGGAATTAATTCCTGCCAGGTACCCATTTACCTCACCTGGGTTGAGTGTGGCAAATGTAGATCAGCTAGGCTAAAGCTGGGGTAATAAATAATTAATGCGCCTCGGAATAGAATTTCTAGATAGATGGCGCTATAGAAATGCCTATGATTATTATTAATTAACCTGAAAACTTTTTAGTTCATTTAATTATGCGCTCCTTTTTTTTTATCAACAGAAAGAACCGTAATCTCCCAGAAGCCGACCAGCGTCCAGACCATCCTGGGCGAGACCACCACCCTGAACTGCGTGGTCCAGCACGACTCTAGGGTCACTCCGACGGTCACCTGGATGCAGGACGGTGGCGTGATCATACCCAACGGAAGGTTCATCATTCAGGAGTCCGGCTCCCTGGTCATTCTCTCGACCGATGCAAACGACATGGGGCTGTACGTCTGCAAGGTTACGTCCATCGCTGGGGATGACCTCGGTAGCGCCAACCTGACAGTCTTACGTGAGTATGATGATGTGAAGATTCAATTTTTAATGCCAGTTTAAAACTTTGTATCCGTGAATGTCTATATTGCGTATGTTGCTTGTATATGTATGTCACACGCCAGTGGAGGACAAATTTCTGTATTTTTTAAATCAGACAATAAATTATCTTGAATCTTGAATTTTGATCTTGATGATGGGTAGAGAAGAATTTGAAGGACTTGACGAGGAAATGGAAATAAAAAGAGATGCAGCGATGTGAAGATGGAAAGGATAACTGCATGTAGATGGAGACATACTAGAACAGTATGATGGAAAATGTAAGAAACGACAAATAAAAAGAACAGAAATGAAAGAATGAATGTAAACGAGAATATTAGACCAGTTTACAGGAAATTGAAAGAAATAAGATAAGAAAGTAAATAAGAGCAACAAAAAGGAAGTACCCGGTAAAGAGATCAGATTCAAAGACATGTGATAATAATGGAAAGAAAATTGAAGACAAATTCCTTCTTTTTTTTGAAAAAAAGGAGATATAAATGTACAAGATAGGAAGATTAAAGGTAATACAAAGTTTTGGGAAATTTTGAAATTGGGTGGGTAGTGATTCTTTACAATTTTGATATATTTGGATGCCCGTGTGGATGTATTATAAGCACTAGAAAATTTAGCCCCTAAAACACTTCTGCTTTCGAGAAAAATTGAATATAAAAATTTACCGGTGCTCCTGGTAAATTTTGATAAATTTCAAATAGCACCTACGGCCGTACAATGGTAGCTGGGACCATGAAAATCTCAGAATATGTAGATGTGATATATAATTTCCAAACGAGATTAGCTAATCACTCGATTTTAGTAAAGAAACCTTGTTTTATAGCTTAATTAATATACTGACCTTGAGAGGGAGCTATACAACATAAAGAGTGTATTATTTACAATTTCATCATTTGAGACTCGATTTCAACCGCGACAACGATCACTGAATATTGTAGGATTGCATATGCTTCCAATATGTTCATTTGAACCAAAATCATGACCCAATACCAAAACTTTGTATTACCTTTAATATTCCCCAAACTTTGAGGTCAATAATTATGTGAAGAAGAAGGAAATTTTATATTAATGGAAGGAAGGAAGGAAGGAATCTTACACTTACTTTGAATCTGTGATTTTGTTTGACAGAGGTACCATATCAGCCCCAGGGAGTGACCGCAACCAAGAGCCAAGACCAGGACAGGACCATCATCGTTTCTTGGTTACCCGTCTTTGATGGTAACTCAGCCCTCATCAGGTACATCTTGGAACAGAAGGAGGATGGTAAGTACCTCTTTGTGATGATGGTGTTGGTGGTGGGGTGGTGGTGGTGGTGGTGGTGGTGATGGTGATGGTGATGGTGATGGTGATGGTGATGGTGATGGTGATGGTGATGGTGATGGTGATGGTGATGGTGATGGTGATGGTGATGGTGATGGTGATGGTGATGGTGATGGTGATGGTGATGATGATGATGATGATGATGATGATGATGATGATGATGATGATGATGATGATGATGATGATGATGATGATGATGATGATGATGATGATAGTGGTGATGATGATGCTGATGTTTATGTCGGTTATTATATTGGTCACCATCTTTGAATATCTTTAAATCAGAACTGAAAGCACATCTTTTCAATTAACTGTAACTCTAAGCATATCAGGAGCTCTTGTAGCGCAGTAGAATATATACTTTATGTTGGATACTTTCTGCGCTCTATAAATGTATTATTATTATTATAAATATCAATATATTTCTTCTGTCTGTTTGTCAATCTGTCATTCTCTCTGTCTTTGTCTCCCCCTCCCCCTCCTCCTCCTCCCTCCTCTCCTCCTCTCCACCCTCATCCCTCTATCTGAATCTAATCATTCTCACCCATCGATTCATCTCTCTAGATTCCGCTTTTACCGAGGTGGAAGCAACCATCAACCCTCTGCTGACACAGTTCCTTGTGACTGGTGTCAGACCGTCAAGGAGATACCAGTACAGGCTCAGGGCACAGAATGCCATCGGGATGAGCGAAAAGAGCGAAGCTAGCAATGTAGTTCATCTTCCAGAGGAACGTAAGTCCCCCAAAACACTGATAAAATTCTCACCTATCATCTTCTCTATCATAACCTTTCAATTATTGGTTTTAGCATCTTTTCTGTGATGTCATCATCATTTTATTTTCTAAAATCTCTTCAAAAGAAAAGTGTTTAGGCAAGTGCAGAATACCCATGAATACTTTTTGAAAATCACCTTCTCTGAACAACAAGAAAAAATGTTGGGAACATCTGTTGTTGTATTATCTTTGCTGTACTGAAAAGTTCACAATGCGTGACATAAGACTTTAAATTTGATATTTTCAAAGACACGTGAATTACGAGATACAATGTAATTTAAAACCAAGCATGAACTGGTGAAGCTGCATTTTTGTATATATTAAAAAAAAAGAAGATATTACTATTTTTACTGTGTTTAGAGAAAGGTACATGTACACCTGTTTGATGCATACTGGACACATTTTCATTGTACTCTCCTGCTTATCTTATCCTCTCCTTCCATCTGACAGCACCTGATCTACCTCCCCAGTCCCTGAGGGCCAGTGCTACGTCCACTTCCAGTATCATGGTGGAGTTTGGGGTAAGATAGACAGACATCTATGAAATGAATACCAATTGTGAAAATTATTGTCGATTTATTGCTTCTGTAATAATGCAATCGAGGAGATGTGATGGTTCAGTGGTAGAGCAATGGTTATGTTACCGAGAGGTCCTGAGTTTGAAACCTTCCATGTACAGTATATTGTATTCTTGAACTTTACATGAACTATACTTTGAAAATACCTACAATAAATTGCCCTCTTCTATCCCCCCCCCCCCCCCAGGAGCCTCCCTATGACAGTTGGAATGGTCCCCTCCTCGGCTACATCGTGCAGTGGCGCATGGACGGCTACAACACCGCTTTCCAGTTCAACAACATCACCAACTACCGGCAGACGTCGTACGAGATCACCGGCCTCATCACTTGGAAGATCTACGAGATCCAGGTCGCTGCCTACAACGGGGCTGGAGTTGGAGCATTCACGAATACCATCGATGTCAGGACCAACGAGGGAGGTGGGTGAAATACTTTTCGTTCTGTACATTTAGAAGTTTTCCTTTCAATAAGCCAGCTCGTAAAATACTATCTGTGCATGGGCAGACATAGATCATTTGGCAATCCAAGCTTATTTGGTCCAACATGTCACTGACCACTTCTAAGATTTAGGTTTTTCATTTTATCTTTTGAATTTAATAAACCCTTCACCCCCCCCCCCCCCCCCTAAAAAAAAGGGTGAAATATGAGGTGATTTGATGTGATCTTATGTTCAGACCTTAGCAGTATGTGATAATGTATTGAAAAAATCACCAACTACCTTAAACTTGTCAAAATCATTTTTGAAACTAGAGATTCTTAGCTCTCCATTTTTATTTAATACTTGTACATACCAATTACTATGATAACGATACAGGATTATCTGTATCAACACCTTTACCGTTAATAACTTGTGTATTTCTAACGAAAATGCATAAGTTATATTTAAAAATGCTTTTCATATTTATTACTACTTATTTTCATATCTTTGTATCCAGTTCCAACTGCACCTCCCCAGGAGGTCGATATAGTAGTGACCAGCTCGACATCTTTCATGTATATATTCAGCTCACCACCCGTCCAGTTTATCAACGGCATCAATCAGGGTTACAAGGTCAGTTGAATATGTAGTCCCATTAGTGCACATCGATGTTTGACCATGTGCATGACTTTTGGCACGCTGATATTGGAAGTCTTTAGTCGGAAACCACTTATTTACTGTAAGATAAACGATTCAAGACACTATTGGACAGTGTCTTGCAGAACATATTGATGTTTGGCCATGTGTGTTACTTTTGGTAAGCTGATATTGGAAGTTTGTGGTCGGAACCACTTACTTACCGTATGAAAACAATTGAAGAGACTATTAGACAGTGTCTTTCAGAACGAGAATGTTGCCAAACATTGGACCACATTCAAAGGATTTCAGGACAACCTTCTTCAGACTAATACTCCCCGGAAAACTGCTTGCAGTCCTTCCCCTGATATTAGGGACTTTTAGATTTGCGTGGACTGATACGTGTGAAGTCCATTCAAGGCAGTGCATTAAAAGGACGTCGACCGTAGCAATCCCCATTGTCTTCATGCAAATCTAAAAGTCCCTAATTAGCCCTCTAGGACAACTTAAAGATAAACTTGAGTTCTGGTAAAAAAAAAAGAAAATGAATTCTCACAGATTCAAACGAAACGTACACTGAATGTTCAAGATTACAAATAAATGTCATTTGCCAAACAATTTTGGTAGAAAATGTATACTGGCTGAGTAATGAGCACAGAAAGTCCCATATACATCTTTCTGTATACAGTGCTTGTAACTTTACCAAGACTAGGTCAAATTTCTTATCATTTTGATGATTCCAGAACCTTGCAGTACACACCAATACTTACATGTATATGCTAGATGATTAACCTTTTCTGATCGATTCCACAATGTTTCTTTCACAATGCAATAGCATGACCAGAACTCAACTATTAACTCTGTAAATGTTGAAGTCGTACATTACCAACATTCTGGATTGATCCTATTCATTGAAACTCTTCTCATGTTAAATCCTCTCTCAGCTGCTTGCCTGGGAGCCCGGGATGGAGAGCAACCCCATCACCGAGCTGGTCCCTCCGAACGTTGCCCAGAGTCGCTTCATCGGTAACATCACGACCCTGAAGAAGTTCACCGAGTACCAGGCTTCTGTCCTGTGCTACACCAACCCTGGCGACGGTGTCCCAAGTACACCTGTGACCTTGATGACACATGAAGATGGTGAGGCTTGATTCTATAGCTCTAAGTATTTTGTCCTCTGTTGGGATTTGATCTGTTTGTGTATTATTATAACTACAGTCAAACCTACTTTAGTGACCACCTGTCTACAAAGACCACATTTTTTGTTTCCCTTGAAAATAGTTTCTCATTGAGACATGTACTAAAAGAACCTGTACATAAAGACCACCTGCCTTTAAAGACCACTTTTCTTGTCTCCCTTGGATGGTCTTTATAGACAGGTTTCACTGTACTTTGGATATCCATTTAATGAAAATCACAGAATTGAACATGCTAACTACCTGAGATACATTTTGTTATGCAAGAGAGTAGGGCATCAAAGTCCCATATATTGCAGTCTCTTTGGGATGAGATGTTGTTTTTGTTGTTGCTGCTATTGTTGTTGCTGTTGGTGTTGCCATTGTTGTTGTTGTATCAATAATGATACTGATGGTTATTAGTGCATTTGTGATGAAATAAAGGGAGCCATATACATGCATGTGCATGAAATTAAAATTGCTCATGGCATATGACATTGACAATTTTATGCATTTACTCTGAGCTATCCGAGTTTCATAGTCATGTCTTTGAAGAGCTGTGGACCATATTCTAAATTTGTGAAATCCTAGCTTCACAAACTCTGCAAAAAATAAAATATGGCTCTTTGTTTGTTTTCTCCATAGTTCCTGGCCCTGTGAGCAACCTTGGTCTAAACAATGTGTATGATACATCCGTGCAAGTATCATGGGAGCAACCACAGGAGGTCAATGGAGCACTCAGTGGTAAGAATGGTGGATGATTCATTTCAATATGATTGTTCATGAATCTTATCAAACATTTTTATTATACTAAATACAGTTGAAACATAAAAATTACCTTGTTAGATAAGGAGGGATGGATTGTTGATTAAACATGAGTGTTCTTGAATATTTGTTAACCTTTTGTAAATATTAACATTGATTACTCAATGAGGTTACATATTTTTCTTTTAATATTTTTAACTGATTAAAAATGTTCTTGTATTTCAATTGATTTTTGTTGTTGTTATTTTTCATCATAATTACTTTGAGATGCTTAACGTGTCTTGCTCTGATCTATCAATGGAAGTATTGTGATGTGAGCAGGGTCCTGTTTCATAACAATTGTTATCAATAACAGCTGCCACAGATCTATGACAAATCTGCTCACAGCCAACCGAATGCAAGGATTTCAGTAGCTAACAACAATTATCCTCACATTTTATTGATTACAAGTTTTATGAAACAAGGTCAAGATTAATAATGTGTCTACCACCATCTTACTTTCTCCCTATTATTTGGCTGTAGGACACACAACAATGTTGATGATCAACAAATTAATTACAGTGGAATATGTTGAAAAAATATCCCCAGAAAGAGAAACAGTCAAGTAATGTAGTCACATGCACCAAGAATGCCTAGTTTGATTGGATAATTATGACAAAGTTGCAAACTAACATTACATCTATGTGTACTTATTGAATGAACCCAGGTTACAGTATAAGCTGGCAGGAGCATAACCGGACCTCCAATATCTACAACGCCAACCGAAAACCCAATGAAACAAGTTACACCATTACAGCGCTCACGCCAGATACCACCTATCTGATCCAGGTCTGGGCTAAGACCAGTGTAGGTCCAGGACCCACCACAGACATCATCATCAGTTCTGGAATTCCACCAGGTGAGCTAGTCAGGACTTAAACTTTGTTTCTTCCTGTATCTCATTTGAAAATTAAGTAGGGCTTACATAAATTATGAGAAATATGCATGCCTTTGATACTTAGGGGACGGTTTAGTTCAAGATCTTGTCTATCTGACAAATTTGAATGAAACTCTCTTGAAATTGATTGCACAAAGGTGAAATTGATCAATACATTCTGCAGGGGACCGTCAGGTGAGACAAATTGAATGGACAGGTATTAAAATTGATTGACGATAACTCGAATGACAAATGGCTGAATTAACTATGACATCTGCACGTAGATGGATTATTAAGACAAAATTTGAGTGGACATTGATGAAATTAAATGAAAAAGGTGTTAAAATGGATAGGAAGTCCTATGTTACATTTACATTCTTTATTTGCCTTCATCAGAGCGCCCCCAACCACCTACCAACCTGAACGTCCCCGGCTCCACCATCCAGTCACGCTCCGTCCAGCTCCACTTCACCCCCGGGTTAGACGGCAACGCTGGCATTACCCTCTGGACCGTCCAGGGCCTTATTGGTCAGTCTGACCGATGGGAGACGGTCTTCGAGCTCTCTGACTCCAGCGCCAGGTCTGTCAAGGTCACGGGACTGGATCCGTTCACATACTATCAGTTCAGGATGATCGCTACCAACGTGGCTGGTTCTAGCAATGTCAGTGAACCCTCGGAGCAGATCCAGACTGATCAAGATGGTAAGTTTAAAAATACCCTAGGCGTGAGACAAAGTCTTTTATTTTTATGAAGGATTCCAAACAATAATTATTACCATTTACGACATTCATAAGAAAAATGTATGAGACTGTATCCCTGAATTGTGATTTGCATTTTCAATATGAAGTATGTCTACATCTACTATAGATTGCATGACAGAACGTGATACAGTCAAACCTGTCTATAGCAACCGCCCAAGGGAAACACAAAAAGTGGTCTTTGAAGACATGTTCCTTTAGTACATGTTACAATGAGAAACCATTTTCAAGGAAAACAAAAAATGTGGTTGTTGTAGACAGGTGGTCACTAAAGCAGGTTTGACTGTATAATCAAAGAGAAAACTGACATAGTAAACAGCCAATATGTTACTTTTTTATATTTTTGATACTTAATTTATCTAGTTTGCTATGATGTACATATAAATGAAATTGTATCATTTTTCACAAATAAGTATTGACATGTTGGGAGATACCTGTTACAATGGATATGTGAATATATTTCAACAGCTCGTTAGTACCACTTCTATTGTTGCTGCTTGTTTGAAATGCTGAACTGTTAAGAACAAGAATTAAAAAAAAGGAGAAGTGAAGTTTATTCATCAGGTTTTATAGCTTTGGGAGAGGTTTGCATAGAGCAACTTACTTCTCATTTCTTCTAATCTCAAAAGAAAATCCATATTTTGCCAAAATGTTCAGAAAAAATGTGGGCTTTCCAGGAAACACAAAAACTTAACTCCACACAACACCCCATTGAAGTCAACGGCTAGTGAACCATAGACTTAACTCCTAAAGGCCCAAGTGCTCAGTGACACATAAACCATTTTTTCTCAAAATGGCAAAAAATGGTCACTTTTTGTCACTGACCCCTCAATAAAATCTCTGCTCATTTCATTTACAAATCTAACTTTAACCACCTGTCGTACAATTTGAATCCACAGTGCCAGCCATCGCACCCAGAGATGTCAGAGTACGAGCGTTCAATGCCACTGCTTTGAGAGTCACATGGATGGTAAGTTGCTATATCGATTGTATAATGTGCTCAGGCAAACAACAATTCTATAGTGAATTCTTTTTCTAATTCCTAACTGAAACCCTGTACCCAAACTCTACACCTAACCCTTAATCTACCTTGCAGTTAATTGTAACTAAGCCGTAATCATGTTTTCTTCACCAAATATAGATTGGCCAAACAGTTGGCAGGGCTAATGTGAGATTACCACTGAACCAGCTAATTACATGCACTATGATACAGTTTGTTGGTACTTTGATTGTGTTCATACCTTCATTGGTTCAAGTTCGGGCAGAAAGTACATGTAAGTTTATGTCAAGGTAATGAAACCTTTTGAGGATACTGCCAAAGTCTATTTGAAAGGTGTGTTGTATCATCATAATGCGACAGCCACCTTTTGACACGCTCTCTTTCCATCGTCATCTTTAGTAATGTCTTTTATCTCAAGATAAAAGAGTACTTGCAACTGTATCCATGAAGTTCTGGGGGCGATGGTCCTTATTCAGAGCAGCCTCCAACAGAATTGTGTATCAATCAGATACAATTTTTTATGTCTTTTGACCGACCTTTAACATCACCATGCGAAAGACGTGACTCAGTTTCAAACCTGCGTCCTCGGCTGAATCAGTTTGTAACTTCCATTGTTAGCTTGATTACAGGCGCACGCCACAACACCTTGTTTAATGAAAGATGACGTCTTTCACAGCTAATATACAGCTAGGCATTTAATCTCTGATTCCATCCCCTTTTCATAGCCCCTTGATGACACGGAATGGAACGGCGTACCAGGGGGGTACCGCATCTACTGGAAGCCGTATGGTACCAACATGCAGGAGATGATCTTTGACCTCGCTAGTCCGTACATCAACAACCACGTCATCGGTGGTTTGGAGGAGTGGATGCCGTACGATGTGAGGATAGAGGCCTACAACGAGCAGCATAGCGGACCGACCAGTGGAATGGTTGCTGGCTGGACAAATGAAGCAGGTAGGTGAATGATGATGGTGGAAGTGATGATGATTATGAGGAGGAGGAGGAGGATGGTGGTGTAGATGATGATGATTGTGGTGAAGATAATGATGATGATGATATTGATGATGAGGATGAGGATGATGACAACGACGATGACGACGACGATGATGATTGATGGTGGTGTTGGTGGAAATGAAGATGATGATGATGATGATGATGATGGTATTGACTATAACGGTAGTGAGGGTGGCGAGCCGCGGGTATGATGTTTATGAAGCTGATGATGCTGTTGGTGATGATGTTGTTTGTATTGATACTTGTGTTAGAGGTTGTGGTGGCGACGATGGCAATATCATTTGAACATATGCATGATTTGTGTAAAACAATCACCCTGTGAAGCAACTTACATATTTTGTATATTGCTCATTTGATTTAAAGCCTATAAGTGCTTCCAAAAGAATTTTAGAAATAGAATTCATGATCAATTTTTGGAAAGATATGCCATCATATTTGTGGTATGCTAAATATAGTATCCATGGTTACTTCTCTATTTATTAGTCCCCTCTGCTGGACCATCCAATATCCAAGCCTTGCCCATCTACTACTCGGAGATCATGGCAACATGGGGTGATGTACCTGCAATTCATCAAAATGGAGAAATACTGGGCTTCAAGGTAAGTGGAGGTGCTGCACGACGGTTCTAAATCTTCAATCAGGTTCTTAAATAAATAGTATTTGTTCAGGTTGAATTGTCAGTACAAAAGTTTGTTAAGTGTGTATTATTTGCAAAGTAATAAAAACTAGAATTTGACAGCAGCAGAATGATCGGGGGGGGGGGGGGGGGGTAGAGAGAGAGAGAGAGAAAGAAAGATAGAGAGAAAAAGAAAAAAGAGTAGAATGAAAAAGAAGAGGGACATATATATATATATATATATGTATACCCCATCCATGTATATAAAACATTATACTATTCCCAGTACATGAAGACAGTGCATATTTTCACAATATGCTATTTTGTCACCTTTTAAAAGATATTTCTAAATAGACAAACATTTTTAGTTGGATACTATGTATTTTTCCTAGGTTCTCATTTTTTTTAAGGGGGGGGGGGGATATATATTTTATTTTAAATACAAATCTCCCTGGTAGGGTCACCATTGAGCCTCATCGCAAAGATAAGGAAAGAAAAGATGCCAGTTTCCTCTTGACACTAAATTCATTCCAGGTAATATTCCGAGAGAATGGAGGCATTCTGATGTACCTGGATGTACCAGGCAACACTACTCGAGAGGCAACTATAACTCACCTCAAGGGGTACACTGTCTACACCATCACGGTGCTGGCGTACACCGTCGTCGGTGATGGTGTTATCGGTAACGAGGTACCCGTCAGGACGCATGAGTGGTGTAAGTGTTCCAGCAAACTTTGCTGTGCTTTATATCTTACCTTGTCATCCTTGCATCAAAAATTACTCTCTGATATGTGAAAGTTATAATCAATCTGTCTAATAAAAAATGGTTATATAGTTGTGTTACAACATTTTTTTCTCCCTATGTCTGATTGGTAAGTGCATGTCAAGAGACACTGAGATTGCATTCTCTCACACAATTGATTTTCAATTAATTTTCTTGGTCATGTTTGTGCTTTTAAAATCGAAGATTGATTTTTGTTCCATGAACAAGACAACAACCAACAAAAAAATGTAAGAGGTAAATAAGTGCACTTTCTTTATTTTGATAACGTTTGCCCAACTGTTTCAATCAATGAAATAGTTCATGATATATTTTCCATCTTTGTCTTCTGGTTTAAAGATTACATCATTATTATTATAAACATAAATTGAAAAATGAAATTGTTTTGTATTAGATATGTTGGAACATACCTATATGTGAACCATTAGCAAGTGAAAAGAACCTCTTTAATAAGTACTGGTTTCCTTCTTGCTATCCTGGGTCACTAGTTGGTGGCATTTCGTACTTCCTTTGTTTAATATGATCTGTCTCTTTGTCTTGTAATCGAATGAACAGACAAAAATGAAACCTAAAACTTTAATATTACTTCACGACAGATCCTGGTCCTCCTGGTGGCATCACGTTCCCCACCGTCCAGGAGTCATCTGTGACCATCGCATGGAATGAACCCCTCCTTCCAAACGGTGTCGATCTAACCTACAAGGTCGGCTACCGTCTCCAGGCCGCACCAGCCAATACTCTCGTTGAAGAGAATGTAGGGGGCAGCAGAGAGCATACCGTGGCGGGACTAATGCCTGAAGAGACGTACTATTTTGAAGTGACGGCGAGTACGTTGACGGGATTTGGCCAGCCGGCTTCAGCCCTGGTTATAACTACTACAGATAGAAGTAAGTTCTGAACAGGTTGTAAATTGTTTTCTTCTTCAAAGGTCTTATCTTATGTACAAAATACAGTTTACAGAATTTGCCCCAAGATAGCTAATATCTCTTTCTCTTTTTCTGTTCTTCTAGGTTGTAGTGCTGTCCGTAACAGTTTGCAATGATTTACTTTTCATACCCTAAGAATGTTAACATCTTAATGTGCATCAAAATATAATTATATATATCTAATACTCTTTTGTGTTTTCCTTTTGAAATTTACATTATATACTCAACTTATATAATTCACTGTTAAATGTAACTTTGTTGATAAATGTTCTTTGTTACACTTACTGTACCAATAGAAGAAGAATATTTCTGTTATAATGACAGATGAGTCATTGAATTAATTAAATTCATTTCAATTCAAAGATATGTACGCAAATTCTTTCCTCCCATTTAAAGTTCATGTAACTGAGTTCGTTCATGATATGAGGAAACAAACATATCACAAAATTACATCATTTTAACTTCAATATGCTGGTATGAATATTTCTAAACTGCAGCTGCGTTTGTTCATGATATGAAGAAAAAACGTATGAAAAATATATATTTTACCTACGACGTGCTTGTATGAATATTTCTAAATTGCACCTGAGTTTGTTCATAATATGATGAACAAACTTGAAAAATGTATATGTATATATATATATATCCACCTTTAATATGCTTTTATCAATGTTCTCCTCCCTGCAGCCGCACCCGAAGCCCCCTCCAAACCCACGGTGGACCACATCAAGAGCAGGCAGGTGCGGCTATCATGGACGCCTGGTAACAATGGGAATTCCCCTCTTCGTTATTACATCATCGATGTACGTGTGGATTCGGGACCATGGGCTCAGCACAGCACCACAGTGGACGCCTCCCAGGTCTCCTATATAGTCACAGGGTAAGATCGCGACCATCTGTGATCTCCCTCTCTCTCTTTAAGTGCCATATTGATTGACTTTGGCGATCATGCTGTTCCACAGTTCTTTCACTCCTCTCTCTTCTTTCAACAATTTCTGCTGACTGTCCATCCAAAGTATCCTCCTTCCTCCCCTACTCCTTCTTCCCACAATATTCCCTGTCCAAGCAAGATTCTCTAGGCTTTCTTTACGTGTAATGTGACCCATAAACCTCAACTGCCTAATCAACATCTTATGTATCATTTTCCTTTGCACTCCATCTCGTCTAAAAACTTCCTCATTACATAAGTACTGGGTAGATGTAACAATTCAGTACTCTTATTCTAGTCTTCATTTAACCATTGTGTGATTTGTTAGAATTTTTGCCTAACTTTGAAAATGCAGATTTAGTGAGAGCTTTCCTTCTCTTAATCTCTGTCTCACATCGTGACAAATGGATAGAATGTACATCTGCTGCTATCTTCATCTGTCGCTCTCTTCAAAGTTGGATTTTTTTCAGGAGCTTTTGAATAGTTGTATTTTATTTGTGTGTCTGTAAAGTAGCACTGTTTAATAAGAGTTTTCACCACAGCGCAGTAGAGTATATTTATATACTGGTAGTAGCTGCACTATATCAATTGATCTAATCATTATTATTACCTGATCTAGAAGAGCGAATACGTGTACTATGTGAATACATTGCATACAGAGATTTTGTGTTTCTCTTGCAATTACTGCTGTTGTATTTTAGTAGTCTACCCTATTTTGGAACCTGTTTATTTCAGAGAGGGAATATAAAGACCAGTTTGCCACTGGTAATAGCGCACAATCATATACATGTTTGTGTAATTCACTGTGTGTGCTTGTATATATGTGTGAGTTCAAAAATTATCCATTAACAAAGAAGGTATTGACCTGTGGTGGTATTCTGAAAATTATGATATCTTTATGTTAAGTTAATTGTCAAAACAAATCAAAATTGGGACTAGACATTATGTATTTGCATAGGGATGAGTATGAGTAGAAAAACATGAGAGTCAACATTAGTTTTTACCAAAAATATTTGCAAACAATCCCAAAACTTTTAAACACATAAGTTTTATAGATTATCAGATGCTTGAATTTTTTATTTGTTCATTCCTGTTACTATTGTCTCTTATTTTTTTCAGGTTAAATCCACACACTTTGTACTATTTCCGTCTGAAAGTGTACAACGATATTGGAGCCAGTCCAGAAAGTCCTACATCAGATCAGACCACAACTGAGCAAGACAGTAAGTTTGATCTTGTCATATCCAGCAGAATCCAGTCCAATCCAGTTCTGGACCCTGTTCCATAAAACTTGTTAGCCCCTCAAGAACAAGATACGATAATTGTTTTAAACTACTGAAAGCCTTACATTTGATTGGCTACGAGCTGATTTGTCATGGATTCCATTATATCCAGCAGAATCCAGTTTTGGTCCACTTTGTTTTGTGACATTGCAATGTGATCTTCAAGATAGTGAAAGATCAGTTGCCGCAAAGAGGAAATATTGTAGTGAATCTTGTGTATTAAGTCTAATGTTTTTTTTTCCTTCTCATGATTGTTATCAGTCGTGGAGATTTTACTGTTTTATTACACATCCATTGATATATGCAGGCTCTTATTTTTGTCAAATGACAAAGATATGAATCGTCATTCATTCAGTGAGTCAAAATTAGTTTACTAAGCAATTATCAATCCAGTGTTATACAATCTTATCAAAGCTCTTCATTATTCATTCTCTGCAATGAAAGGTATTGGCTTTAGTTTAAAGCATTGTCTAAATGCTTTGGATTTCCATTTCAAATATTTGCATGTGAATAATATGATTGCAGGGCCCTCAGGGAGAACGGTATGAATACTGATGAAGCTACCCTGGGTAAACCAAGACATATTATTATTATTATTATTAATTTATATTTTGTGTTCCTGCATAGTTCCTGAGGGTGTACCCACCATCACAGGGGCGACGCCCATCACAGTCACGTCCCTCCTGGTGACGTGGCAGCCACCCCTCCAGGCCCAGACCAACGGCCCACTCACCGGCTACAGCTTCCAGTTCAGGCAGTTACCCGGCGGCAGCTTCATGGAAGAGACCATTAACGATGCGGAACTTACCGAGCACGAGCTCCTCAACCTGGTGAGGTATCAGAACTACGAGGTGAAGCTGGCCGCCACCAACAGCATAGGGCTGGGACCATACAGCGCTCCTGTCTATGTGTACATCGGAGAAGCAGGTAAAGACGGATAACTTTTTATGCCTCCGCCACCGAAGGTGGTGCCGGAGGCATCATGTTTTCGGGTTGTCCGTCCGTACGTCCGTACGTCCGTACGTCCGTCCGTACGTCCGTCCGTCCGTACGTCCGTCCGTCCGTCCCGTTTGACCGTTATCACAATATCTCAAGAACCATTTAAGATTTAAACTTAAGACTCGGGAATAGTATTTATCACCATAGGAAGACGATCTGATTAGATTTTGGAGTACGTAGGTCAAAGGTCACAGGTCACAGAGGTCAACTTATGAAATTCCTTGTATTGAGTTTGTTAGCGTGATATCTCAAGAACCATTTGAGATTTAAACTTCAAACTTAAGGATAGTATGTATCACCATAGGAAGACGATCTGATTAGATTTTGGAGCATGTATGTCGAAGGTCAAGGGTCACAGAGGTCAACTTATGAAATTCCATACATTGAGATTGTTATCATGATATCTCAAGAACCACCGGAGATTTAAACTTCAAACTTAGTGATAGTGTGTATCACTATAGGAAAACAATCTGATTAGATTTTGGAGCACGTATGTCAAAGGTCAAGGGTCACAGAGGTCAACTTATGAAATTCCATACATTGAGATTGTTATCATGATATCTCAAGAACCACTGGAGATTTAAACTTCAAACTTAGTGATAGTGTGTATCACCATAGGAAGACGATCTGATTAGATTTTGGAGCACGTAGGTCAAAGGTCAAAGGCCACAGCGCACATTATGAATGCAAAAACAGCTTGTGATCGCGTTATCTCAAGAACCGATTGATGGATTCATGCCAAAATTAGGTCATGTTTGTTACTTGCAGAGCCAATGAACTGAGTAGATTCTTGGTTCATAAGGTCAAAGGTCAAAGGTCATGGGCCCATTATGTATGCAAAAATAGCTTGTGAACGCATTCTCATTAGAACTGACAGATGGATTACTATTTAACTCAGAACATCTTGCAGAGCCAATGAACTGAGTAGATTTTATGGTCATGAGGTCAAAGATCAAAGGGTCATATATGTATATGAGAAATTGCTTGTAATCACAATATTCTGAGAACCTGTCAATGGATTACCATTGAACGTGAATTCAATTTTTTTTTTCTGTTTTGGTTTGTAAAATTGCTCTTTAACGGAGGCATCATTTTCGACTGCGCGCAGTCGAATTCCATCTAGTTTTTATCTTAACCCGTTGACTACTGAGTTCTCTTGTTCTCATAGGCTTTGTATATAAACCACCTGGGGGTGTTTCACAAAGAATAAGATCGACTTTAAGTTGGACTTAACCATGGCAGGCCGTTCATGCCACCAATTTCTCTCACCAATATGATCTTTAGTTAGTAGTCTTATAAAAAACTATCAAAAAATGTAAATTCTGTAGATTTGTGACCACAATTTATACGTCCCTTTTTTGCTATGAAAAATGTTTACTCCTACTTTGTACTCAACAAGTCAATCTGTATGTAAGTACAATAGAAATATGATTTCATTCATGTCAATGAAATAAATATATATATCATTCAAGAATGGAAGATGAACAGATTTGTATTTATATGTTGGATTAAAAAAATAAAATTTATTTTCAGCAGATATGTAGATCATACTTGTTTATTATGTTAATCTTGCAAGACACTGACCTATTTCCCTTTTTTTTTCCTTCTCATCTTAGTTCCCTCTGAGCCTCCTTCAGCCGTCACCGTAGCAACCACCGGTTCGTCGGCATTCCAGATCTCATGGGTACCGCCTTCTACCGAGTCACAGAACGGTGGTCTCCAAGGTTACAAGGTAAACAGTTTATCCAAGTCTCTATTTTGGGAACCAGACCTGTCAAGTTTGAAAACAATCATTAAACTTGCTCTCAAATACATTGCTAGATTGAAACCAAAATGTAATAATAATAATATAGTTAGGAGAATTAGGGAATTGATTAGATCAGTTTTTCCCAATTGTTATCAATTTAAATAATGTCTTTTTTTCACTCAAACTTTCAGATTATCTATAATTGTACATCTAGCATTGAATTCACCATCTTAGCACCAATTTTCTCTCATCTGAACAATGTTACCAAGTCCCTTTAAATACTCTTGCCCAACATGTATATCCCTAGGTGCTGTATTGGGAGAATCACTCCCGCCAGGCACGGGCTACCATAGTGCAGCAAACCAAGACCTTCCCTGCCTCTGCCACGGTGGCGACCCTCGATGACCTGGACTGCTTCACAGAGTATGGGATCTCTGTCAAGGGTTTCAACGCAGCGGGTGATGGCCCCGGGTCTCCTACATCGTACAGCACTACCGGTGAAGATGGTCAGTACTCTACTTGGCTTCATTATCAAATTTATATTGTTTTCCCACTCCCTCACCCCCCCCCCCTCCCCCACACAGCCTTAGAAATAGAGAGCATTTACGCTTGACTGGAGATGCGAAGGTCGAGGGTTCGAATCCCGACACGGCACTTATATCCTTTGGCAAGATATTAACCTGCACTTGCTACTCTCCACCCAGGTGTTAAATGGGTACCCGGTAGGATGCGACAGTCATTGTTGGTCAAACAGCTTGTGAGCGTCAAGTAACGCCTGGCTGGAATGCTCCCCAGGGAGTGGAGATTGTGCACACTGTGTGTGCGGGCAAGCACTGAATCCAATGACCAGGGTAATAGTATATATTTGTAAAGCGCTTAGAGACATTTGTATTAAGCGCTATATAAAAATTAAATATTATATTATTATTATTTAAAGTAAGGCCTAATAAAAAAGATGTTGTATTGCTCTTTGCGACCGACCCAAAAATCTTGAAATCTACGGTCGGCTCTTTAATTATTTTTTTTTTAGAGAAAAAATATTAAAGCTTCCAAACTGAGAAATATCAGCCCAAAGAGGGGGAAGAAAAAAAAGTTTTAAAAAAAATAAAGATTTCTGACCAACCGACATATGTTTTGGCACCTAAAGGGCAATACAACATCTTTTTTTAAGGTCTAATCCAAATGTTCTTGTCAGAGAAAAGTTTGATAAACAAGAATGTTTAGTATGCAAAGATTTTTTGGGAAAATCTGATTTGGTCTCATTCAACTCATTCAACACTGCCGGTTATGCGTGTTGTATAATAGGAAAGAAAAGTGTTGAATGTATGCTCCATATTCATGGACATATATATGTGTTTAATTTTGTGATATGAATCGTTCTTTGTCATGCTCCCCTCAAGGCATCATGCTGAACCATCCATCTCCCAAGATGCTACCCACACTTGGTGACAGAGCATTCACAACTGCTGCTCCCAAACTGTGGAATACCCTACTCCAGATTTGTTTGCAACCAGCAACCTCTCAATACCTTCAAAACTATCTTGAAACTCGCCTCTTCTGTTAACAACATAATTGTAAAGCGCATTTGAACATGTATATGGAAATGTGCTATAAAAATACATTATTATTATTATTATTTGTGAGTCCAGTAGCAAATGTTTAAAATAAGATTTTAAATTCTGATACATTGATATAACTGGAATAGTGAGGCATTGTCTATCACCTCCATCCACTCATTTTCCGCTGTGTATTTTCTCTCAGTGCAACAGCACAAATTCAGAGAGTTCCCTTCATGATCGGGGCCCTGTTTCATGAAACTTGTTATCACTGACAAGTTACAATAACTGTTATAAGCTACTGAAATCCTGGCATTTCATTGGCTAAGAGCAGATTTGTCAAAGAAATTTAGCACTTGTTATTGATAACACGTGTTATGAAACAGGGCCCAGATAAATTTTCATCTATGTATTTTCTTCCACCAGTTCCAAGCGAGGTGAGCAGTCTTCAGTTCAGCCAAGTAAGGATGAGCTCTCTCAAGGTATCATGGGGACCTCCGACCTCGCCCTGTGGGACCGTCATCCAGTACAAGCTCTTCTACCAACCTCATGAGCCAATCAATGGTAATACATGGGACAGTGGATTTTTTAAGAAAAACTCCTGTAAAGTTAATTTGTAAAGATCTTGGTATTGAAGAGTTCTCTCTTTTTTAGTCCAATTTTTTTTGTTAAATGGAAAAAATGTATTTTGACATTTTGTTTTAAAGGCTGTCTGTACTAGTTCGGCCAGAAGGGATTAGACCACCCAGCGAGGTCACTGACAGGTGGCTATTTCATCAACTCAGCTCTCAATTAATTGAGAAAAGGAGGATCATGGGGGACCAATAGGCATCGATTGGGGAAATTTTCTATACAGAGGGAGCAAGTAGCTGCAAGTAGTTCAGTGGGGCTTTAGAGACATAACACAGACTTTTTTGTGACATGTTTTTCATGGATGGCTAGACTTCACCTTTTAGTTATTATCATTCATAGACTTCTCTAACCCTGCTCAAACCTCACTAATAGTTTTACAAAATAGAGTTCACAGTTTATACATCTGTGCTTGTTTATTTTTTCCCACATTTCAGAGCTTTTAAATGCTACTTAACTTATGATGTATGTTCAGTCATTGAATATTGAAATATAGTCCCTGATTTAAAAAAAAAAAAACATTTTGAATAGAAGTAGATGTGTTTTTGTTTTGTAAAATTGAAAGTACAAGGTGTGAAGAACATGGGGGCTATACAAGAAACTACCATTATTATTGTTATTGTTATTATTATCATATTATTGCTGATGTGAAATTGTGTTTTTCCCCTGTTTAAATACTGTATTTTACCATAAAAATGACCAAAATATGAAACTATACATCACCTATACAGTAGGCTTGCGGGTGCACCATGTGAGAGAGAGGGAGGATTGAGGAGTCCTGAAAAGGACTCTCGGCAATCTTTCTTGAGGTGATTTTTTTAAAAGGAATAACACAGACTGTTTTGTGAAATGTCTTTCATAGATGACCAGACTTCACTTTTTAGTTATTGTCATTCATAGACTTCTCAAACCCTCACCTGTCTATTTATTTATAGGTGAAAGGACATCTGTGGTAGTCACACTGCCCAGTGATCAATACTCCTACGTTGCTAAGAGGCTTGGGGAGAGGGAACGATACCTTTTTGAAGTCCATGCGGAGACCGCTAGCTTTGAGGGACCACGGAGGGGCCAAAACATCACAACTGGACCACAAGAAGGTAGGAAATCTTGCTCAAATTCCATTATTTGTAGGAAATGGACAGAGCAGTCTTTGCCTCTAGAATATGTATCACCACACTTTGTTCCATTGTTACCTGCATGCACTCCACCTGAATTGTCCAATTGGTCAGTAGTTTCATTGTTCAGGCCTGTGTGTATAACTGTATTTCATATAAAGATTTTAAGATTTTAAGGATTTTAAGGATTCTAGGACACCTACATGTACCCCCTGGACATCCACCCCCCAGTCAACTACCCTCTAGGGCAACCACTCTCTAGGATGACTACCCCCAGGGACAACTACCCCTGGACAACTACCCCCTAGAACCACTATCCCCCGGACAACTACCCCCTAGGACAACTACCCCCGGCCAACTACCACCCGGACAACTACCCCCCAGACAACTATCTTAGGGGGTAGTTGTGTGAGGGTAATCGTCTGGGGGGGGGGGGGAGGGAGAGAGTGATCCAGGGGGTAGTTGTCCTAGGGGGTAGTTGTCCTTGGGGGTAGTTGTCCTTGGGGTTACTTGACTGTGGGTGGTTATCCAGGGCCGGGTGGATATTCAGGGGGTAGGTGTCCGGAAACAGATTTTAAGACATGTGGGGCATATTTTATTTTTGTTTCATTTCTGACTGTTCTACCTCTCTCTCTCTCTCTCTCTCCTTCCCTCCTCCCCTTCCCTCATACATACAGGTGCTCCTGACTCACCAACGAATGTTGAATTGTCTCCCGGGTCATCCTTCTTGACCGTTTCATGGGAAGAGCCTGTGTTCCACGGCGACAAACCTCTCATTGGATACATCATACAATCACAAGTAAAGGGTCAGTAGAATGGGTGCCGAGTTCCTGAAGTGAAGACATTTACTGTATAAACTTTGTAAATGAATAAATTTCCTTTATGAATAAGTTATTCATGTATTTATGCATAAGTTGTATTTATATCATATATTTATATCGTAGTTATATTGTTGTTTATTAATCATGTTATTACATTTTATTTTACTTTAGTGACAGATTAAATTATTCAAAAACATATTCATATGGACACTTGGCATTCCATGGATTAAACCATGGATTAAACCATGGACTAAAGTTAGTTCGCTTTCGAGAATACCACCCAAAGTGTTGGGTCCGGGGTTGTTCAATTATGTGCTATTGAACAAACCTGTGACTAGCCTCTTGTCGATGGCCCTCGCGTTGTTGGAGTCCGTAAATTATGGCAAGCGAAGCGCTTGCATTGAGAGCCTCTTAACAAGTGATCTGAATTATATATTCATGAGACCCGATTTCCTACTGAATTATGCATATATAGACTACGTGAATAATGTAACCACCACAGCTTTTGTGTGCGTTTGTGTGTATACAAATTGCCCAACTAGGCGGCCAGTCTTGCTCTCACGGAGGAAATTCGCACAGAGCGGTAGATATTATGTTATAGTAGCTCTCTCTGATTGGATGATTCTCACCGACTTCTGTTGGGTCGGTATATTCGCCAAATAATGTAAAACACAAGATATTCAGATCACTTGTTGAGAGGCCCTCAGTGCAAGCGCTTCGGTTTCTCGGCAAGAGGCAAACCTGTGACATATTTTCTCTTCTAACCCCCACAGGTCAAGACACCTGGGAGAACGTCAACGACACCATCGGCGCCAACCAATCACAGTTCTCCATTCCATACAGCAGCCTTGACCCCGTCACGGTGTATACCTTCCGGGTCATGGCCGAGAGCGAGATCAGTGTCAGCGAACCGGCCCCAAGTGAAGAGCTTATGGTTCCAGGTACGTACAGTCATACCTGCTTTAGCAACTACCTCGGAGTCTATAGAAAGCCCACATTTTTTCTTCTTCTCTAGAACAGGGTTCTCGTTGAAAACCTGCACAGTCGACCTGCCTCTGTGACCACCTGTCTGTAAAATCAGTGTTATATTATGACAGTGGAAGAGAATAAGAAGGCTGTTACAGTCAAACCTGCTTTAGTGACCACCTGTCTACAAAGACCACCTGTCTACAAAGGCCGCATTTGGTGTTTCCCTTGAAAATGGTTTCTCATTGAATCATGTACTAAAGGAACCTGTCTACAAAGACCACCTGTCTACAAAGGCCACTTTTTGTGTTTCCCTTGGGCGGTCGCTATAGACAGGTTTGACTGTATTTAGCTCTGGGCTATACTTCGACTGTGTGGAGATCATTGCATGAAGTCATAAAATGTGCTAAGATTAGAAATGATTCTGCTATGTTACTTTAAAAAGTAACAACCTAGTTTTTCAATACCTGCCTCTGCAAGAGATTCTTTTACATTCTTTTTCCTTACAATTCTTGTTCTTGTTCTTTTTTTTTGTGCTATCCTGTCTGCTTCTTGTGCATTTTGTTTTTCATTTTCATCATTCACAATCGCTTTCTTGATTTTTCCTCCTTTCTTGTCTTCTGTTCCCTTTTTGCTTTTCATCTTAATTTCCTGAAAACATTGGACAATGATTCCATCTGCCTCAAAAAAAAATCTGAAGCTTGATCAGACCTTGTATATGAAAACATAAATTGAACATTTGTCAAATTCCTGTTTATTTCATATTTCATGCTAATCTATCATTAGAATTATCATGCTTAATCTAACCTATTCCTGTAATTTTCAGCCCTAGCTACTGCTACGGCAGCTACTTCACCTCATTTAACTTCTTTTGAAGCCACAACTGAAGGTATTTTCATCACATCTGTAGATTTCTCTCTTTTTTTTGGTCACTTATTCCTATATGCTCTTTATGAATAGAAATACTGTAATATAGCCATATATTTGGATTGAACTGTGCATGATATATGTATGTGTACTATATATTCTGCCAGTGAGATTTTAATAATAGTTGATTTACAGAAACAAAATATTGCTTGATGGCCCAAATTATTTCTGAACCCCTCAATGGTTTGAGTCGGGCTCCACTCTAAATTTTTAGAAAAGGGGTCCAGATTTTTTCAAATCTATATTCACGAGCTCTGTGCAAAAATGTTGATATTTCAGGGGTCCAGGCTTCCATTTAGGGCACCCATTTGTCCCGGTTTCCTGTTAGTGACGAGCACTGTTTTAATTTCAGTCATGATTGTCAACAGTCATACACTTCAGTTTTTATTCTTTCAGTGTTTTTGGTGTGAAATTGAGTGTGTAATAACATATACACTCAAAAGCTTGGAGAAGAGTCACTACCTTCGCACGTTAAGAACCCACTGCACTATTCATATAAGAGTAGGGGGAAACCCCGGTGTAGTGGTCCACCTGCACACACCCCAGTATAGTACCATAATACTCTGTAAAGAGGTCTGTACTCCAAAGGAAGAAGAAAGCTTCACATTATATTATATTATTTGTACATGTGCCTTCTTTAGAAAGAAAAAAAATAATCAACGCCCTTGGTCAAAAGATATACCTTGACACTCTAATTTTACTCATTTATACACGTAAGTGTTCTGTTAGAGCAGTTAAGCATGTTTGTGGTTGCCTCGAGTTACCCCTACCTGTCCCCAAATTACTATGTACATTGGTTTGTTTCTGTGAAACATCTTGAAGTGTTTTGCTTGTGAGTTTGGGCAATTCCTAGAAATGTACTTGTTCGTGTATCTGCACTTCTACAAATGTGTTATACAATATACAGCAATAGTGTAACATATATAAAAGTTGATTTTTATAATTGAACTTGTTATATGTGGTACTATAATCCTGCTTTGTGATATACATCTAATAATTTGCATTCTGAGTTGTTTTTTCATAACCCTCATCCATTCTTCTTTTAGGCCTTCTAGCTATTGTTTGAACCCTAGATTTTCTTCTTTTTTCTGAAATATTCTGTGTGAAAATTATACAAAACGCAAATCTTTGCTGTGAAAGAACTTTGGGAGGTATGCTTTTAGGCAAATTAATTGTTGGATCCATTAGATTTAATGCGTAGATGTACTTTAATATGCATTTTTTAGACACATAGTACAATGAGAAATGGATTTATTCCCCCCAAATCTTTTCTTAATGCATCTCTTTACACATTTATTTATAATAGATGACACATATTTGAAAGGAAATCACTCCTGGAAATGCCTCAGGATTTGTGTTTTTTCATAGTCTCCTCAACTCACACTAGCACATTTTTATCGAACACTCACAAACCAGTGCATGGGTAGTATTATCTAAATAATTAATGCACTGCATTGTATATCCTTAAGTACTATAGATATTTAAAAAGATGTTTATATGAAGTTGTGTTTGCATCTATACACAATTTCGTATAATTCTCATGGCAGACACATGAAAATGTATGCGCAAAATCTTTACGATTAAGGCTAGATGTAAACCAAACTCAAGATGACGTCAGACTGATAAAACACCATTGTTAGCTGCTTTAATGTTTTTCTGTCCTAACGTAGAGCATTTATGAACGCAAGTTGAATATCTCACTAAAAGTACTAAATTTTAAAGGGTCCCTTGATGAAATTGCACCTTCTTTCTTTTCTTTCTATTTTTTGGTATTAACAATAAATGTAAGGAGAGTCCCAAAAAGGCCAATCAAATTGGTTGGCTCCATCTCAGATGATGTTATGTTTCATATATCTATTCAAGAAGAAAAGTAACAAAACATTTCAAAAACATGTCAATCTGTTTATCGTAATGTAAAAACCCCGCTTTACAGTTCATCTGCATGTAAGTCTTAGAATAAGCATGAACCCGAAATGAAGCAAAACCAGATTATGTCTTATTATAGTTTCACTCTTTGTCTAAAGAAAATGTTCCAAATTTTCTGATTTTCCCACATTTCTTCAGCTGGAGGAACGAACGCAGCTCAGAAGAACTTTTACGAGGAGTGGTGGTTCTTGGTGATTGTCGCCCTTGTCGGCACCATCGTCATCATCCTGGTCGGAGCCACGCTATGCATGCTGGGAAGAAGCCGTTTATATGTCGGTACGTATCGTTTGGCGCGTTGAGTTGCTTCCCCAGGTGGTCATCTCTTTGAAAGGATTCATTTGAATAAATACAGTCAAACCTGCTTTAGTGACCACCTGTCTACAAAGACCACCTGTCTACAAGGACCACATTCCTCGTTTCCCCTGAAAATGGTTTCTCATTGACACATGTACAGTACTAAAGGAACCTGTCTACAAAGACCACTTTTTGTGTTTCCCTTGGGCAGTCACTATAGACAGGTTTGACTGTATATATTATTATGTAAATGCACTGCTCTCAGTGCGAATAAACTTTCAATATGGCTACTTCAGATTTCATCGAAATGAAGTCTTGGGGCCTGTTGCATGAAACTAATACCACTTATTGTAAAACTTACACAATCAATATTAATTACCATGGCAACGTCACTCAATAACCCATCAAATAAAGGTTTCCATGGAAGTTACCCTTGGTGGCAAAGTTAGCATCAATGCCAAGTCTTAGGCAACAGGGCCTTGGTGGTTTTATACAGCCTCATGAGTCCAGATGTCTTCAAAACTTTATGTGATTAAATCTAAATGGGTGAAAGACGTCTCCTAATTGTCTTTAAATATTACTAAATGGTCATACAGTATATTTTGCTTTAAAGCCACACTGCACTACTTATAGCTACTTGCTCCATCTACATGTTTATAACAAACAATGCATAATCGGTGACCATTGGTCCCCCATGATCCTCTTTTTGATTTGATAAAAATAACCACCTGTCCAGTGACCTTGCAGGGTAGTCTAATCCCTCCTGTTTACTGGGTATTGATGGGCTTTAAATCCTTTTAACGACCCCTGACTTTGAACTGATAAAAATCCAGCTGTACTACTGCAGAAAGTAGTAGAAGAACACAAGACAGATAGAGATCAATAATAGTGAAGGAATAAGACTAGGTAGAAACTAAAGTGTTATCCAAGGGTCTATCTATCAAGACATAGAAAAGCCTGCTTTATTTTTGGAAATATGAAAAAGATGAGCACAAGCAAAAAGAAAGGAATCCATATCCGTGGAACATGAAGGTAGAGATTTTCTTTTACAAATATATAATTTACAGTAGTCTTACGGTTGCACCATGTGAGAGGGGAGGTTCGGGGAGTCCTGAAAATACATAATCGCAATGGTATGGGTGTAGGCATCCTCTTTATAATCTAAGTTGTTCTTAATTGCTTGTATATACAGATAGGAAAGTTCATAAAAGGATGACACCCGATGAGAGAGTGAACGGGACGGAAGACGGTGGATTCACGTCGTTTGAGATGGATCCAGCGGACAGACGACCACCGAGGAATGGAAGATCAAATGGTCGAAGCGCAGCATATGCCAGGACAAATTCATATACAAGGTATGCTCAGTGAAAAGGGTTTTCAGAAATATACTAATGTGTCTATTAAAGATGATTAGGAGGTAGATATTTATATGCTGATAACCTTGAATTCATTTAAAGAGAGAGAAAGAGAGAGAGAAAAGGAAAAAGTGGGAGAGAAAAGGAGAAAGAGAGAGAGAGAGAAAAAGGAGAAAGAGAGAGAGAGAGAGAAAAAGGAGAAAGAGAGAGAGAGAGAAAAAGGAGAAAGAGACAGAGAGAGAAAAAGGAGAAAGAGAGAGAGAGAGAAAAGGAGAAAGAGAGAGAGAGAGAGAGATGGGAAGAGAGACAGACTGAGAAAGAAAGAAAGTGCAGGAGAGAATGCTGAATAGTTAAACTGTAAACAAATCTTTCTAAATGCTTGCGGTGTTGCATTCACAGTTTATCTACTGTAATATACAATATCATTTTGCACAAAGTGGACTTTTAGTAAAGGAATGTTTACAATTTCTTGGAAAACAATTTCATTATTTCAAGAAAAGAGATAAAAAAGACTACCCGGTAGATAATATAACTTGTCAGCAAGTACATGCATATTTTCAGAACGCGATATCTCTTGTGTAGTTGTCTCTGAACAAATTTACAATGTTATGATTTCATTTAACAAATACCGACTCGAAAACAACCACTTGGTTTTGCTTTGTGAGTATTATGAAGCGACAACTGTATGTCAAAGTATTAGTGGATAGAATTTAGATGTGTATCAGAAGCATAGATTTTTATTTTTATTAAAGGGATCGTTTAACAATGTTAAATCTGAGATACACGGTCCTACATGTTATCAGTGTCTGTGATATGGTGTAACGTTGAAGCCCTAAAAAAATCGCGCTTCAAAATGATCAAGAAGTGCCTCAAAAAAGTAAAAATCTTTGAGTGACCGGTTATACCATACTCGTTTTCCCCAATAGACTGTAGTGTTATGAAAACCGTCAGGCGAACGGTTTTCAAAATTTGTAATTCCAATCATAAATATCTTGATAATCAGACAGGCGATCGGCTTGTAAAAGTCATGGGGTTCCTGACTGACCTAAAGGTTTATAATTATCATTGCATCATGAACTAAATCCAGAATTTTGTTTCAGAATCTGAGACAAAGTTACCGGATCCCTTTAATATTGACTAAGAAATGGTACATTTTTTTATATTTGCCCGACTTTCCTTTATTATACATTTATTTTATGATTAACATTTGTTCCGCAGCAGTAACGAGGAGCTTCCACAATTGCTGACATTCCTCGGACCTTCAGCAGCGTATGTCCTCCAATCAGAGCACCCCAAAATTTAAACTGACCAATCAGTGGTTGTTCCCCATTTTGGAGTGCTGTGGCTTTCATTCCCATGTAGTATCCCATGTATTTCCCCGTTATATGCCCTGCATGAGGAGTTTGAATGAGACTAAAGTTAAATGTGAACAAGGCATGCCCAATGATTGACAGTGTTCACTGTTTATGCTAGCCCTGTTCAAACTTCTACATTAGCAGAATGCTTTGGAAAGTTCCTGATACATATACATAACATTGGATAATGAAAACGACTAAACCCCGATTTACATTCACACGTAAAAAGACCCTTTGAGATGTGTTGTTGTTAGAAAAATGTGTTGTTTCGATTGGGTTTAAACGTTCATATTTTTAACGTGTGTTGATGTGTTTGGAGATGGAAAACAGTCTATGTGAATCACTTTGCGATGTTTTAGCACACTGATGTATAGTGTAATATGTTTTCACAAGTTGATATGTTTAGAGTCATCGTTTTGCTGAAGCTTTACTAAAAAAAAATGTGTTACACAAATATGAGTGATAATTCATTTTTCTTGTCACGTGTATACATTTTTAGTGTGCTGTTTGTCAAATAGGTTCAGAAATGGGAAAGTAGTATTTGAATGCATACATTCTGTTTTGTGTACAGTTTTGCATTGGCTATTTGAACAGTGTGTAGAATAATGTTCCTGTACTAATTCTATCTGAATCATTTTCAGGCATTTTCAGTTTCCAGTTGTGATGAAGAACATGTATTTGATTGTGAAGTGAAGTGAACAAAAGAATAAGGGTCTTGACATTTACACAAATTTTGTGATTATTGTCTGCTGAAAGCCATAGGAATGCTAATGCTTATATGTAGACATAGAGTTTATAAAGCCCTTCTGGTGCTAAACAGCAAGCTAGACAAAAGAAAGAAAGAAAGAAAAGAAAAGGTCTATGACAATCATTTGGTATGGAAAAATTCTCGAGATTTAAGAACCAGCAACATTTGGCTTTAACCCTTACTGTACTGGGCTATTTTGAGCACCCACTGACTGGGGGGGGGGGCCTGGGAGGCCCCCCCCCCCCCTATGATCTCGGCCGTCGATTGTCCGATGAACACGAAAATTTGCATGTTTGTAGATATTTACATAAGGAACAAGATGGTATAATTAGTTTTTTCCGAATATGCAAATTTTTGTCGTTAGCCTAATTAATTATGCAAAATGCGCTAATTTTATGCATTTTACCGAAAACGTGTCAAACTCCACTTTTTGAATGTTGAAACTCATTATTCATATGATACTTCTTTTCTAACACAAAAAGTTGTTTTAATGTAATTAATAATGATAATTTATGCAAATTTTGATGCGATTTTCATTTTTTTTTATTTTTTTTATGACATGCGCATACTAATTGTTATGTAACGCCTTACAGGTGTATCCGATTTCAACGAAAGTGGTATCAAAATGTGCGTAAGACTTGAGGGAAAAAAGTCATGAAACGACAATTCAAAATTCCAAGCGGTTGCGGCGCAATCTCCGAAAATGTCGAGGGGGGGCCTCCCAGGCCCCCCCCCCCCCCCCAGTACAGTAAGGGTTAATAATACATGTATCAACATGTATATGTTCATCCAGGATGAATTTCCTAGTATTTTCTTGAGTTGTTGGGAATCAGCGTTGTTTGGGGTACATACATGTTTATTAAGTGTGTCTAGCTTTTCTCCATGGCATGTACCCTGGTTAGTACATGCTACATGCTACGATCTGCAAGACTTGATGCATGCGAACTCGAGTAGTTGGTTTTAGTTAGCATGCAATTCAAGTACTAGCAGTTTGTATGATAAACAAATGTCTGTTAGTGACTGAAGCACATCCACTGTACATTTGCAGTCCTGTTTTTATCTCTACTCAGTATGGTGATTTACTTGAGAGCTAGCTCTTGCCTTATTATGTAAAGCTAATTATCCATAAGACTGGTGTGAATTTGACTAGAAATTGACTTTTTACTTGCTCAATCAAGTTTTAATATCAAGTAAAGGGTTGTGTTTGCCAAAACAATTAGAAAGAGGGAGAAACCCATTATTTGTAAAACCAGAAATTCTTGTAACACAATACTTTTGCAAATTGTTGTTGACAGCAATTTTTGTGGCATGCAATATCAACACATGTTGCAAACAAAATCCTTTGTTGCAAGATATTGAAGTTCAGTCATTTTGTAATATGAAACACTTGCAAGACTGGACCAATCACAAAATTTGCCAGAGTATAATGCATGGGAGGGTATCTGGTTTGACAATAGCTCTGGAAATTTGTCAAATATATCTTTACTACCGGTATGTTAGAAATGGTTTTAGTAAAAGCAGTGGAGGTAAAAGACATGAGAGGCCATTTTTTTTATTGTGGAAATACTATTGTTCCTATGGAAAAAACCCAAAGAGCTGCCACGAACAAAAATCTAATTCCTGCTCTACTTTCTCCCCTCTTGACCTACCAGGCCCCCTCCAAGGCCCAGTCCAGGTAGCATACAATACTCTGAGGAGGAGGAGAGTAAACACTATGAAGACGTCAGGAGAAGGATGGCTGGCGAGGAGCCGGGAGAGAGCAGCAGTCTCACGGAGAAAAACGATTTACAGTCACTCTCAGAGTCATTAGTAAGTGAAGTTTTTTTCCCTTCTATATCATGCTTATGATATAGCTGCCAACCATGTTTATCTTGGCTCTAAAGCTATTGTTTTGAACCCTATATTCCTCTCTTTTTCTGTGTGAAAAATATTTTTTAAACAATCGACTTTATTCTTAATTTTACCTTGAGGGGTTCCTACTTTTTTGCTGTGAAAAGTTGGCAGGTATGTTATGATTGGATCACGGATGATAACTATGAGAAGCAATCTGAATAATTATAGACTCCTTTGATTTGTTAATTTTCATTTCTTTTCAAAATTTGAAGATAGTTTTATTGCATTAGAAATCAGATGATTTGCCATGAATAATATTGACCAATATAGGACAGATTTGATGAAAGTGAGATGAGGCAAAATACAAGGCTCCGTATGAGCTGGTGATGGGAGAAAATAACAAATCAGACTCTTGTTTGATAATCAGTCGAGGATAAAAATTGATCGAGCACTGTTTCTTTCAAACTTTGCACGCTTGTTATTTACTCTTCTCATATCCTTCTTCCTTACTTTCCAGGCTAGTGAGAGTGACGTTGAAGTAGATGGCGGGGGAGCCTATGGGGGCGATCCTCCCTCCTTCGTCAATCACTATGCCAGTCTTCCAGGCTCGCAATCATGGCGACGCCAGAATCCACCGAGCGGTCCAAACAGTAATGCATACAGCTACACGGATAGTGAACCGGATCCCGTGCCCACCGTGGACGGAAGAACTGTATACCTACAGAACAATCTAGCCAAAATGCAGCCCGGCTCACGGGCACCCGTACACGGCTTCTCGTCGTTCGTATAACGCAAGCTGAGCCGTCACCGATCGCCGTTTGCCTAGTTAGCGAGAACTAAGAGATGATTATATGAATATTTTCTTGACATTGGTTTGTCATCATACGTCTTCTTGAAATCGTGGGGTGTGATGGAGCAACATCTACACAATGAAACTTCTAATATAGTTATCATCGAGGATAAGCCGTGTGGAAAATATTGTCTTTTAAATTTTAATTGTGTCGTACTGACTAAACTTTTGTGTTTGAAACTGGAGTGCTTTAATGATAGAACAGATGTGAAATATTCTTTCCATCAAGGACTTTCTGTTTATATTCAACTGTCATGTGGAATTGAACTACTTGCGTAGCATATATGAATGAAAGAGAAATATATTACCAATACTTGATTCTTATACTGTACAAATTGGAAATGCCATTCTTTGGTAGCAGGACCTCCGTGGATAGCAATACTACAAGAAAGGTGCTTCACCCTCGGTCAACAAATCACATCTAACAGAGTAACCGTAAAATGGTTTGCATCCCATGTGATTGTAGGGAGCTCAGGATAGCATCGACAGAAGGACTACCCCAGTGGCGAGGACAATACCGGTACCGAAGACCCAGAGGTGAAAATGCGGAGTGAATGTGATTTCTAACATGGAATGGTTATTACATCGTGTTCTTCTTCTTCTTCTTCTTCTTCTTCTTCTTCATCTTGAAAGGCCTATGAAGCCTATCACGGAGATGAACTAAAGATTGCAAGCGGTGGGAGGAAGATTTATGAGATTTGAAAGGATGAGAGCACTAGATGTCTCAGGAGTGGTCCCTGTAAGTCCTCTGGATCGTCAGCGTGCACTGCATTTGCCAGTAGGCTATGGAAACCAAGACAAGATAGATCTGCATTAAAAACCAAAACACGTCAGCATGGAAACCAAAGATTGCAAGAGCTTAACATGGCCAAGTGACTTAAGAGGAAGACAACTGTGGAGAAGAGACATGAACATGTATTATTAAAAATATTTCCTGGGCACCACGAGGATAAAGTGTTTCATTTTTTCAATGAGTAGGCTTGATGAAGAAGGTTCTGTTTGCAAGAAATGTATTACACGTAAGCCAAAGATAGATTCACTCCTTGGGGGATTCTGTACAATGTGTCCAGAAAGACGAATGACCTTTATCTGTTTATTTGAATCTAAGAATGAAAAAATTCTTAACGTGACCGTTAGAAACCGTTCTTTTGATATCACTACAATTAGCAATGGCCAGATCAGGAGATTTTTCACTTTTTGATGAAATAACTGGACAACTGACATACATGTACATCTGTATCTTTTTTGATATATTGCGCAGAATCACCATTTCATACAGTTGTGTTAATGGGGTGTGGAACTTAGTGGAGAAATAAGAAGAAGACTAGATATATACGATATGCAAATAATTGATGTTCATTCAAGTAAAACAAAAATACAAGTCTTTTGATCCAAAGAGTTGTGAACAGATATGTATTCAAGAAAATATGTGGTTGTGAAACGTGTGGTTTCGTACACCAGCTTGATATGTGGGGCAATTGAAGTCTAAGGATAGGTGAATTGAAAGAGCGGTGAGGATGTTTTCGTTATTCATATAAACTCTTGATTCGTCTTTTCATAGATTTTTATCAAATCTTTCTAGATCTTTACACTGCCTTTAATTCTGTTCTCTAAACAGATACAATAACTTTGAATAGGTCTGGCTTTTATTATCCATTTGTAATTAATATGTTATTGGTACTTTTGAACATGTTAGGGTCTCTAATGATGATGTTAATAAAGATCTTTTCAAAGATGGCTAATGGCCCCCCCCCCCCCTAAAAAGAAAAAAAAAATTATGGGTCAATTTGAACTTTTTGCAAGGATTGTGTTGTAACAATTCACTTGGAAAGACGGAAATACAGAACAGGAATTTTTCTCTTTTACTTATTTTACTTATTTTACTTACTTATTTTAATTATCATCTTTTCTTAAGGAATTTTCAAAATGTCATCGTTCAAGCAGATTCATATAAACTTAAGCATCATGAACTCCTTTCATTTGCCCCAAATGTCAAACATTACCTTTCGATTACACCTGATAACTCTTAAATACTTTGACACTTGTTATGACCGTCTATCTTCTATTCTTGGTGATGTTACAAACTTCACAAATGAATTTTAATCTGTGGTCTCTTTAGAGAGAGCAATTCTATTTATGAAATTGATGATTTGTTGATTCAAGAATAAAAATTAACAGTATCCCATCTATTCCGTATTTTAATGTGCCTTTTTGAAGACAATAAGATTAGGTGCTGAATTTTGTATGAGTCATAGACTATTGTCGTTAGATGTAGATATCTTTAAAGCTATTGTAATTTATTGAAATTTGCCGATGAATTTTAAATTTCAACTCAATTGAACTTTTAACTCCTCCTGTGTCTGCAATATTTGAAATTGGCTTTCTAATAAAATGTTGATTACCGTATACAATATTGATTACGAAAGACCTATTTTTGCATAAGTCATTGCTATTAAAGTTAATGTATTTCTTTTGTTTGCTATTGTTTGCTATTTTTATTTGCGTATTCATGTTATATAAACCTGTTTTTTTTAATCTCAAGTATTGCACTAGATACTGCATTTATGTATTAAACTTTCATGTAGGGGCCTGCATGTGCATCAATAAGTGGGTTTTCAAAGTGCTTAAGCAACTTTAGACAGATATATGTCAAATGTTTCTTGATAACTCTTCACTATTGTTTTAGGATATTTTGTGTTCTTTTAAAGATGTTGTTAGGTCCGTTGGTTAAGTCACTTGTGAATGCATTTTCAAGGGACATTTAGCTAAGAATCTTCTCTCACAGCTTAACAGATGTTTAAGTAATCTACATTGATGTTCCTTGTTGTTCTTCTTTATTATAGAAATATTTTCTTATGTGCAATTCGAGTAGGAGATTATGTTATGTTGTCATTCTTAGAGCAAGTTCTGTTCATAATCTTGTCTATAAGATCGGGGTTATCTATACAAATGCTTTTTTATTTACAGTGGTGCTGATTTCAAATGTTTTGTTTGATTTTATAGAGGATTTTTATATCGCATATGGGATGGACAGAAAATTCATTATATACTTTCTTCTCATTGCAATAACCAGTAAGTTGATATCGGTAAATGGTGCAAAAGCATATGGGAAATGTATCTTTCTCACCCACAGATAGAAGGGTTGTGGTCCAGTGGATAAGTCTCCCGACTGTGAACCACACGGTACAGGGTTCAAATCCCCGCCACAGCACTAACGTCCTTTGGCAAGACGTTAATCTACATTTGCCACACTCCATCCAGGTGAGGTAAATGGGTACCTGGTAGGATTGTACCTTGAAAATTCACTGTGTACTGATAAGGGCTGCTGGAGCTAAAGCTAGCCTAAAGGGTAATAAGTTCCAAAGCCCTTTCGAGGAGCAGAGGGGACGTTGTAATGTGATATGCACCATATAAGAACAACCACGCTAAATACCAAGTGGTGGATGTTGATGAAGTTCCTTCGTGGTGTCAATGGGATGTGAAAAAAGTTAGATGTATTTTGACGCTTGTTTAATCCTTGATTTGTAAGAGTCATAAAGTTCCATTATGCATAGACATTTCATGAAGTCAACTCCACCCATGACAGATTTGTAATTTCTCTCTTTGCGTTGTTTTATTTGCTTTAAAAAAAAAGAAGATATTTTCACGTTAGTTTTGTTATCCTTGTTTTAAAGTGATGCTTCAAATACCGAAGTAAGCTACATGTACATAAGCGGTTTTATAATATTATGTTATTAGCCTGACTCCCTAAAAGAAGAATTTTGATACTTTTTTTTTTAATTCTCTCATTCTTTTATTACATTGCAATTTTTTAAATCTTTCTTATATTTCTATATTAATCAAGAACATCACATGTCAATTTAATCGTGTATTGAGGTTTGTTTGTGGTTTCCTCATACTTTTTTTTCTGTTCAGTGTAATTAACCTTCTTTAAAATATTTTCTTAAATATTTTACATGCCTTTGTCATATTTGTATATTTTGGAAGAATGCTTGTTCTAAAATGTTCATTGCTGGAATGAGGGATGTGAAATTCTTCCTTAAAGAAGTAGGTTTTCAGAACAATTTATTTTTCACTCTTAAGCTGAACCATTGAAAAATATTTGGTGATATAATGGGATGATGAAAACATCTTTAATTTCATTATTGTGACATTGAACTATTATATTATAGCCTGAAATGATAGGTATATATTTCATATCTCTTTTCAAGTAATAATCCAATCATTTGAATTTAAGCGTGTAACTTGCCTGCTTGCTTCAGTTTGCTCAAATAAATAAAACTGTTACTTTATTGTCCATGATGATATGATCCTGATTCATACAACTTGTTATAAACAACTACAGCTAAAATTAAAACCGCACTCAATGTGATGATTTTAGTAGCTTGTGATATAATTATCAGTTATTGTAACTTTTAGTTGATAACAAGATTTACGAAATAGAGCCCCGATGTCAAAAAGCTATTACATGTATTGTACTTTTATTTTGTATGTAATGTTGCAAAGCTAGTTTTCTTAGCACATTAAAATTTGAGGAGAGCCTGATTGGCATTAAATCCTTGTTATGGTAAATAGTAAGAGTAAATCTTTTGAGCTAGAAGGCCGTTAACTCATAAACATACTTAAACATGCAGTTAATGCCTTTCTAGCTCCAAGAATCATAATGTCCTTATAACGTATTCGGATCTGGACTGCTTCTGGTTTGAAAGCCATTTTTTATTTTAAAAAAAAAATTGTTTTCATTGCTAAGAATGTGGAGTTTTTTAAAATCATTGGCTATAGCTTGATATGTTGGTAAATGGTAATACTCGGTTGAAATTGCCACATTTCAAATGTGTTTTTAAATTTTGGATTGTACATGAAATATGAGAGACATTGTAAGTATGTTTTATAACAATGAAATAAATGCTTTTAAAGTATAAAATATCTTTAAAGAAAGTTGATTTAGTGTGATTCATTGAAGTACTCGTCCATTTTGAAGCAATGCACAGCAATGGAAGGTCAGTGTAATAATTATGGGACTGTCTGATAAAGAAAGGGGGATAGAGAGAGGAGCAGGGGAGGAAACAGGAGAAATGGAACAGTGTAAATAAATCAGATGAGAGAAAGAGAGAGGGGAAGATAGAGAAACAGAGAGAAGTGGAGAGAGAGAGAGAGAGAGAGAGAGGGAGAGGGGGGGTAGAGAAACAGAGAGAGGTGGAGAGAGAGACCGAGAGAGAAAGAGAGAGATAATATGTTCTGTATTTCATGGGTAGTTTTAAAATAACCACGCTTCTCAATGTTTTCTGAAATGCGGAGAAAGTTGAGAAGCGTTTATTTCTGTAAATTATTCAACAGTCGCCGAGTTGCGTTATTGAAATTTTGTTGAAAAATGAAAACGGGGAAAGGCGTGATGGTTGCTATGTCAAAGTATGGAAATGTGACTCTTCTCAGCATGGACAAGGATGAGTAGACCTGTTTATTGCAGAGAAAGAAGTGTGATTGATTTTCAACAAGTTTGTTTTGATTTCGTTAAGAATATAAATCAAGGAAAAATCCAGTTTATGATTGTCAAACGGGAAAGGGACTGGAATTTTCCCCCGTTTTGATGATCTCTGGGAATCTCGCTGG